CATCTTCACATGTCTAACCATTATCGACTGCCCTTGATTTACTTACAACAGTTTGCCACTGAAGACTGAAATTGATTGTTCACCTAAACCAATCACTATTTATGCCGTGTAGGTTAACTATCATACAACTGAAGATATTACTGATCTATCGGTTATATATAATGTGGTCCGTCGTTCACTGCTCAGCTGGTCATCAGTTCTTACTCTGTAGCCGAATTTTATAACTTTCTTCTGTGTTTCAAAATACATTATGAACAATAAGAGACTTCCCTTGCGCCTGTTCGCCGAGCTTGGCAATTTGTTTGCAAACGTTTCATCACCAGCCGAGGTGACATCATCAGTCACCTCGGCTGGTGATGAAACGTTTGCAGACAAATTGCCAAGCTCGGTAAACAGGCAAAATGGAATTCAGTTCACCCGAGCTACGAAAACCGATTTTCAATATTTTGTCAACAATAAGAGACTGCTAAAACGTAAACAATCCCACATCAGCAAAACTCCGCATTCGATTTTCGTGATGAGTCGGGATAGTTTGGTTACACCCGCTTTGGATACTTTCACATGGTGGTCTATCAGAAAATCAATATTTCACATTAATTACCAAATGAATTGAAAATCATACGAAAGACTAACAACAGAAAAAAGTAGCGTCATAAGAAGCTGAGTATTGAAAATGTGTTGTTTTGATACGTATATATATATAGATTTATTATCGTCAGTTGTATGTGGAAGAATGTGAAATAAATAAACAAAACGTTATTCTAGCGATTTTTCAAAAATGATCATAAAATTCTACAGATTTAATCCGTGGCAATTCATTGCCCTACGGATCTGTTTGTGGATTCCATTATTTGAATTTCGCTTCATGGAGACTAGTAGGCAGGAGTTATTATCTTCAAGTTTGCTCAGTACATTTTACTATTCATTAATGTTGTATACATGAACCGAAAACACATACATTGGCTAGCTCTTTCGTACGAGTTTTGATTTGTCTGAATTATGCACATTCTGTGTTCCTGTGGATCCACGCTCAGACCCAGATGTCTGCGAATTTACACAAGAACCTGTCTATCGAAATTCATTTGTTTCACGTCTGTTGCATGACTCATTTTGGAATGTTGACCACAAGCCCCGAAAGGTTATCGGGTCAAACACCAGTGTGGGGACACAAAAAACAACTCAAGGCTAATGAATCCCAATGGTTTACGAAAATGCTCTCCAGTGACCTTCCGTCTGTCATCATACTGTTTCCTCGTTTAAAGACTATTTGAGTTTTATCGATTAACTTGCTGGAACGGCGCACACCATGATCGATTGAGCAATTCATCGATGTGCTCGCACTTGATCACCAAGCCATTATGTGATGTATCAGGTTGCTCCGATTTTCCTCCCGCATGTTGACCATTGGTTAGCCATTTTCAATTATTGTCAGAGTGAGATCATTACTGTCTGTGATGGTGTAAGACAGAAAATTAACGAATCAACAGAGGTGAATAAAATTACAACTTGAATAAATTCATACCGTTTCGAGAGTCCGAATTAAGATGTTCTCCTAGGAAATTTTGGGTGTAGTAATAAACTCAAAGTTGAAACCTTTACTTAACAGCATTTCCACTCAAAGCAATGAGGAACACACAGTCATGGAAATCTAGTCCGTTAACATATTTTGTCCATCTACAAGTGAATAGCACATCAAAAGGTTTGGTGATACTAGGTTTGGCAGAATTCAGACAATAGAAGTTCGGAGCCGTAGATATGTAATTTTTTACTGGGTAGCTGTTAGAAAATGAGTTTGGTACCTAATGTTAGTGGTAAATTATTGGAATTCTCAATGCTTGTGGATTTTCTTGCAGCCACCTGCACCGTAGGCATAGAAGAGTTCGAAGATCAAATGGAATTTGTTCTTCTCACTTCTGAATCAGCTTAGGAATATCATAAATCAACCGCAAATGACTTTCGTATCACCACGGACTCAGAACGTCCAACGGATATTGGGCCGTTTGCAATGCTTTATGTGCGTCCTCTCCATGGCTTTATGATCAAGTCAAGTCAAGCAAAGCTTTACGCACCCAATAGGACGAATTTTCAGCAGTTTCGACAAGTTACAGTGAGAAAAACGTTAAGCATTGGAAAATAAGAAATATACACTTACTAAACGTAAAACAAACGGATGTGATAAAATCCCAATGTGATAGATGATTATTCAAGTCAGTAATAATATTAGTTCGGTTGATCTAGATGCGAGCAAAATAAGGGATCATGCTGTTTTTATGTGTGGTGGTGCGTGCACAAAGAATTCGATATTTGGAACGCTTACTCGGATGAGACGCCGATTTATTGAGATGGGAGTACAGGTAGTGTTCTTCATTGGACAGGATATGCCTGATAAATCAATCACATAAATGAAATGCTTGCTCACAATAAAGTCAAACAAAAAGGTATTTTAAATGCCACTGCAATGAGATAGAAGTTTAAGAGATCTGGAAAAGAGAATGAAATCTTTCTCCTTCAGACCAGGAAAATATACGGGTAGAACAGTACAATCAAGGTGGAATATTTCTGCAGGCACAAATTTAAGAATTACATTTAGGGGAACGCCAGGCGTTTTAAGCTTAAAGGCGTAGAAAGACAGCTTACGAACCCGAATACAAATGTTTTCAACATGTTTGGACCAAGGAAGATTGTGTGACAGAGTAACTCCAAGATATTTCACAGAGTTAACTTTAGGGATGGTATTATCATTAACAGAAAGTTCAGGCTGATTATTCATAAGGGTTTGATAGTGCATGTCTTTTTTAAGGCTATAAGAAATATCCAAACATTTATCTGCATTTATCATTAAGGATCGGGTAGTCGACCAACTAAAGATTGTATTTAGACAAATTTGAAGTTGACAGAAACAATCAGGACCAGTCAAGAGACAACCGACCACTACGTCATCAGTATAATTGCAGGCAATGAAGTTGGGAAGGATGGGAAGGTCATAAATATAAAGTGAAAAAAGAAATGGAGACAAAATTGCACCCTGAAAAACTTTAGAGTTAACTTCTAGCAGAGAGAACGATTTACCGTTACAAAAAGTGTATTGCATCCAATGAGTTGAGTAGTTAATTATTACATTTAGCAAATTAGGTGCCACACCACAATCCGAAGGATGTTGAATGAGAATGCCGCAGTCCAGTGATCCGAAAGCATTAGCATAATCAAGAAAAGTTAAATGGGCGATGCCAGCTCCTTTATCTAATAAGGATGAAACGGAATGAACAACGTGAACATTAGCACCAAGAGTGGAAAGCAAATGTTTGTAAGCAAACTGAATAGGGTCATGAGTAACAGATAAAAGGGTCAGCCTGTTAAGAAGGACTCTTTCGAAAACTTTCAATAATGCTGATGTGCAGGCAATCGGTCGGTATTTGGAAGATCCTTTTTGGAAATTGGTGTTATCTGAGCAGCTCTCCAACAATCAGGGGTGTTTCCAGAAGGCATACACAAATTAAACAACTGGGAACTAGGTGAAACAAGTTGTTCTTTCAGCAGGAAGGGGGACAACGAATCAGGGCCATGTGCCTTGTTAGATTTAAGGGACTTAAGTACATTCAGGACTTCCACCGGAGTGGCAGTTTGGTTCTCCCCAGTAGATGTAAGTAAAGATGGTATTGAGTTCCATACTATAATACTTACTAATTGACGGTTTAATTCCTCAACATCCGGAAAAGATTTGTGGCGTGCTCCACAGAGCTGCTTCAAAGCAAACCACATACGACGGCAGTTCTTGTTTCCCATAAGAGTTCCGATATAAATCCAATTTAGCGCTGTATTTCTATTTTGACCAATGGTGATAGATTTTTGACAGCACTACACCTTCCAGTCCTGTAGGCCTTTTCTTTATCACGACGGAGCCGTTTAAGTTGAGGCGAAGAGAACATGTGAGTTCGAATATATAAGGCCTCAACTGGGTAATATAGATCATTGCAAAAATTAAGATAACATGTAAGATACTCACAACTGGAATAGTTGTCAGCATTTAAAAAGACAGTGAAGTCGGTAGATGAAACCATAGCTCTAAGTTTGGATAAGTTACCAGGAGTGCGACTTCTCCTTCTTATGGTTCTAGATATGGAACGGTTCATTTGGTGATGAAAATATTTACCGTAAATCATAGGGTGCAAAAGAATAGAGCAATGATCGGAGCTACCTATTGGAGCCCGCTTCTCAATGAAAAAAGATTTTGGGGCTATTTATAAAAATCCCGTCAAGTTGGACGCCAAGCCGGTTAGAAAAATATACAAGATTTGTCAGGTCTAAATTTGTAGAGAAAGAGATATTGAAACGATCAAAATCACCAGCAGCAATTCATAAAGACTGCTCTAAACCTGTTACAAGTTGTAGGGAGAAACAGTCGACAAACGGACGAATATCAGAGGCAGGCGTATCGGGAGTGATGTAAATGTTCGCTTATGTAATATGATGAAAGTGAATGAGAAATTGAGGCTTACAATAAAGAAAAATACAATTTATCTTGGGAGTACCAAATTGAACATGTTTATGAGCGTTTTTGCACCATTTTCTGTTGACGAAAGTGACCAGTCCACCACCTCCGTGAAGGAAGTTTGCATTACGATCTTCTCGAAATATGTCAAATCCATCAAATGTACGACGTTGTCCTCAATGTTAGGATGTAACCCGCTTTCCTGGAGTAGGATTACCCGTTCATTCTTACATTCCTTGCTGCTTGCTCTTGACATCATCGAGTTTTTCCATGAGCGAACGTATGTTACATGAGATAGTAGACGGAACGGTCAAATTATTAACAGAACGCCGCCTGAGTGCTACACACAAGCCAGTGCGGTGTTTTTTATGGTGTCCTTGAACAGATTTTTGCAAACGTTTGAATCAATTTCTCACAGAATAGGCAAAAAGCAGAAACTGAACTTTCTGCGCGATAAGCTGCAATGATTTAAAAAATCTGGCCTGGTAGGACAATATTTGACCTTGAGAATTTAACGAGTTGATTCAAAAGTGATGACCACGCGTTCCTTCACTATAACTTTAAGAAACAATTTTCGACGATAACAACACACGGCCAAATTCAAAGGCTCCGCCCAAGGGGATGCATTGATATAATCGAATCTATCAAGGCAAGAGAACAAATCTGAAGATCCGCGAACTGGATAATTTTGGGGGAATCGGATTACCAAATCAAACATGATAAAACTCACAAATTAGAAATCTTCTTTGTCAACTGCTTCAGTGAATACATTTGATCGAATCCCATGCATGCTTAGTCATACGTACTTGCATGTTAAAAATTTTGTAGCTACACAAAAAATTTGATGTGCACGGGCAACAGATTGCTGCTTCCGGAGTCAACGTACTATCAACTGCAGTGGGAAATGGTGAGTTATGGTTACGTCCAATTTTTATCCGGTGATTCAGACTACCGATAATTTTTTAACTCCGTGAAAATGACAATAATCATTAAAGTTTCCTATAGGTACAATTCGGTTATTCACATAAAGTGCATTCTTCAAATTTATACCCAAGGTTTCCAGGATATGTGACCAAAAATAAACGCACCTCGGTCACCCAACGAACTACAAAGGATGACTTTTATTAGACGGAAGATTTGTCTAATCATATCTGAAAGGCCAATGTGTGGATATCAGATAAAGTTCAGTCTCCTGGTTCCCCAGGTTTGTGAATTGACTTGAGTCGGCATCTCAGTCAGCAAACAGCGACGGTGAAGTAGTCGATCGCGCACTTTGCCTTGCACACAGCCTTGAGGTTACGTACTGGTTAGAACTAGAGACATCGGACAAGAACCCAAATTACCCTTCCATAACGTTCAAATGAAACAATTCAATAAAATAAATTCCGTGCAATATCAGTCATCGCTCACAATGATCAGAATGCACCGTCCATTCCATCAAATAGGTGTGGATAGTAATCAATAAGCTATTGCTCAAACATTGCAACCTTTGTTCGGTTCTTTGTCTTCTTCATCCGAGTTTCTCCCATTGACCCTTCTTCCGACTCGTAACCTTCCCACAGACAATCTGTCTGTCACTCGCCAAAACTTGTTGCAAAATAGCACTTTAAGTACTATATTGCTTAATAAACCGCAGATTGTGATGCCTCTCTAGCCTTTGAAACTCGGAAGTCTTCAAGGTGAGCACTATCACACAGGTAAGTCAACAAGATTGTCTTGCGCTTGCACTAGACTCGCTAGCAATCAATGTTTACTGCTTATACGAGACGCGACTTTGGGATACTAGTAGTACAAGCCCCTTAGGTTCTCCCTTGAAGCATATCCTTTTCATATTTTCAGACGATTAAGCCTTACTCACTATATGAGCGTGGATTAGTTATCACACAAAACGACCTGGTTGAGGCTTCATTGATAGACTGAATGCCGGCCAACAGTCGTTTACGCGCGACGACGCTTCAGCATTTGTTAATCATTCGGAAGGAAAGCAACATCAAAAGGCACCTGAGCATTTTTTGCACAGATACTTCCTCAGATCTTGTTCTCCCAACGCCAAGCGTTTGGAGTTCCATCCACGAGAATCAGCATATTAATTAATGCCCCACTCTAGATAAACGATATGCCTGTAACACTGTCCAGTTAGGTTGTTGAGTCTAATAGTCGAATACCTCAATAAAGTATGATTTTTGATTTCGGTAACGATTTCTGGTGTGCAATTTATAAGATAACCGAGCATCAGTAAAGAAGAATCATAGGAATTTATTTATAAAAATGATCCCTGGGGTACAGGTACGACACAGACATTGTAATTTCATTTCATCATTACACTCAAGTAGTATAGAACCGATCTTTCCACTTTACAAACGTGTATACTGTGAACCTGGGACCAATTCGTGATATAGCAGCGCGTACTAACCGAAACCTCATACCTATGATCCGATATGTCAGTAGTATACGGCAGACTTGATTTTGTAATGATAAATCTGCATTATTTACTTCACTCTTACCGTAGTATATTGAGTTTTACCACAATTTCAAATGATGGATAAATTCAAAAACATTTTAATTTTTTGCGTAAGTAGACATTTTCAAAACAAATTAAGTTGCTATGCGCGAATTGGCATAACAAAGCAGGTATTCATCTCAAAAGCGCATCTTCTGATATGTTAAAAATAAACAGTCAACAGGTTCAACAGTACGCAGCATAACTGGTTCCCCTATTTGAATGGGGAAACCTACAATCGTTAGGAATCAATCATTATTTGTTCAGATGCCCTGTAGACCGCCAAATATAAAGGGGTTTGTCCAATAGGCGCTACAATACCACAATTGTATGGATTGTCCAAAGACTGGAGATCCCTTCAGGTCGATTCTTGACATGTTCAATTCGACCTACCACACGAAGGCCAAATGGTTGTCTTGTGTTCTACAGAATCGGTGAGAATGACGATGACTCTGCATAGCATTAGGCATACACTCGGTCTCCATGACACCTTGTGTAGTTTAAATATCGAAGGTTGCCAAATGTTTTTGCCAGATTTTACATCTCACTTGAGGAATGTTTGATACGGCGTGGCAATTGAGTATCTATATAGCTATATAGAAAGCAACGGGATTGGCGTGAACATATTGATAGATCACATAGAACGATTTTCCTTCTGCACTCACGATATATAACTCAAGTTAAACAAGGAGATCTGTCGTTAGAAGGATTGTGTAGAAATGGGTTCCCCGACATGTCCCTTGTTTGCCGACGTGCTTATGCCAAAAATAGAAAACAATCAGGGTGAAACACATACTAGGCCAATCCAGTTAGAAAAGTCTGCAAGGAGGATATGCTGGTTGATGAAACCCGAAATACCTGCCAGATGAACTAGACCGATTGGCCCCTGCTTTGCTAGACAATGGTTATCCCATCACATTCATTCAGAAGTACAGAAAACCGATCAACGCCAAGCCTATTTCCCTACTGGCTAAGGAGAAAGTTGCCTTTCAAGGGAGGTGATGTAACAACACAAATATCTCGATGTTTAACACACCGTGGAAAGGACGTACACTGTAGCAAGATTAATGATTTTCTACGGGAAGTTTCATAATCTCCAACGCACTAATCTGGATCTATTCATTTCAACGTACCTGCGGTCAGCGGTACATCGGAAGGACAGAACGTCATTTATGAACCAGAATGTGTAAACATATTCCGAAACACTTTGGTCTTCGCGGAGTGAAACTACCATCTAGTGCGACTGCCCGTCATCTGTTAGATTCCGGTTATCATGTAGACGCACTCAAACCGTTTCAAGTCATTGCGAGACCTCAATGTTCACGGACTTAGCGGTTCTTAGAAGCGATAATTATTCATCGCTTAAACCGCAATTATGAGTTCAAATAACATTTGTGATGCAACTGTTGTTGCGGTGGTGGTGATGACATGAAATGACCTTCCCTCCCCCTCCGTCTACCACAGTCATCACATCGTTCGGATCAGTTCACCTCCATATCAAATGTTGTCAACTAACTTGACCTCAACCCTAACACAAATCACGCAACTCACCTGTCCACCACCTTGTTCAAATGACTCAATTCAACTCAAATTTTTCTTCGTTTTACATGATCACATATAAATGTGCGTTTACAGCTAAATGAGAGCACGCGAAATTGATGGCCAACGTCAATTCTGCCCACATTTATTTTTGTGTTGATATAATTGTACATAAGTCATTCAGTATTTATTTTTTTGAAGAGACCGCTCGAGAAAAACCACATCATCGAAAACAAGTGAAGTATCTGTTACTAGTTCTAAGGGGTATATTGATTTTTTTATATTTCTAACCTCAATTGTTCTCTGTGTANGAAGAGACCGCTCGAGAAAAACCACATCATCGAAAACAAGTGAAGTATCTGTTACTAGTTCTAAGGGGTATATTGATTTTTTTTATATTTCTAACCTCAATTGTTCTCTGTGCATTCTACACATGTTTTTCTGATGAAAAGTGTGTACCATAGTGTCTGTGGGCATGCCATCCACTCTTTCGTTTTTGTTATCACTGTAGCAAATCGGAAGCAACCAGTGCAGTCGATTTGATTAGCGTTAGTGGACCTCAGTGTGGCCGTTATTAGTCATGACCTTGAACGGTTGAGCTCAACATGTGATTCACGAAGTGGGAGTGTATCGCTCATCAGACCTAGGTCACAACTGTTACGATGAGATTTGCCGGATGACCTGTCCAACTGCAATTATTGTTCACCTTTTCGCACAGTCGCGTTTGTGCAACAGTGGTTTTCGATTGATTGAAGACCCAAAATCTTGCTCAACAGCCCCGCTTTACAAGCTGGAATAATCACGATAATCGCTCATCAGTTGACACAACAACGTTTGTGCAACACAATCGATCAACTGAGTTTCGCTCCCATCAGCGAGAGCATTCTTACGGCAGCAAACCTGGCCGTCACTTTGGTGACCCCTGTAGCAAAAATGACCACAGAAGGTCGATGTGTTCGAGGCGAGTTTATCTTAGAACTTAAAGTGAGAGTAGATCCTACACTGGTAGGTAGCTCACTCCTTCATCAAATTCGAAACGGGCGATTTATTCTTCAAAATGACACTCATAAACAGACATAGTGCGTCAAAACTTCGATCAGATCGCAATTATCCTCTGGTGGCCGCATTACCGGCTGATTGTATACGGATTTGAACTCAACTTTTATGAAAGCATCGGCCAGCACTTGGGGATGAACAGAAGTTCATGCTTTTTTAACCTGTTGCTTGACAGTGAGTATGCAAATTTTGGCTTCCACTAAAAACAAAACGAATTCCATTAAACATTACCGGAAAGAACTTTTGAAGGACAGAAGCACACTTCAGTGTATTAGTTGTAACACTGAAGACTGGTTTGGAGGCATTCATACCAATTTTACATTCGAGAATGCTGAATATATTACACTAGTCTGATAACCGATCTCCGCTATGGAGAGAAAATGTCCGTGAAACGAACACTACGCTCCCTCATATCTCAAGCTCAATTTATAATCAGTTCCAGGCGATTGGTAGAACCAAGCCGCGTTATGATAGGAGTTTTGTCTTCCATTTCGCCTGTTCGACAAGCTTGGCTATTTGTTCACAAACGATTCCTCAACAGGCAGAGGTGACAGCGTCAGTGCTTGTGAAGTGGCTTTGTCTCTCGGTTCCAAATTTAGTTAAGCGGAACTGGAAATACCATTTGAAGATTAAGATCGGTTCAATTATGATTACTCACAACTTGTTATCAAGTTCAGGGTTACAAAGCACACCATCGGGAAAATCTTACACAAACGTTTCTGGATGCGCTTAGAAAATTGCAATTATTAATTCTCCTCAGTAGACCCAATAAGGGAACCAACCGTTTTCATCTATCATCAAGCATGCATTTTAAAATAGTAACCTCCTTGCGAGATGACTGAAAGTTCACACGGAATACATCACAGTGCGATCGAATTGAAAAACAAAACGAAAGGGAAACCACAGGAACGCTGAAAAGGCTCAGAGACCAAAACTATATATCATTGAGCCTTTTAAAAAGGCTCAATCCAGTGTTCTAGCATACCCCTACTGTACGGTTTACCAAATATTCACAAACTCGGCCTGCCTCTCCGCCCCACACTGACCATAACAAGCTCGGATTATCGCGCTACTGCCCAATGGCTAGCAAAACATTCTCGAACCAGTGCATAAAACAGTTGAAAAGATACAGTACACGAGAGATTCGCATTTATGGGTGCTATGGAAGATATGCAGTTAGTAGAAAGGCCAATATTCTCCCTTGATGCTGTATCTCTGTTCATCAACGTACTTCGACTGGGGACAGAAAACTGTATCTGTGAACTCATTACGAGGAACAAAGTAACCGTGGGTATGTATACCATTTGATAACATCAAATAATTGATACTCTGATGCAGGTTCAACCCGTAATCCTTGTTTGGTAATACTAACCACCACTTTTGAGATGGGGTCATCATGGGGCCATTCTTAGGGCCAGTCCGTGGGTATATTTTCAAGACAGAATTAGAGACCGGTCAGATACACACAGTCAAAGATCACGACGATAAATACGTAGACGGTATTGTCTGTTTCCGAGGAAAATGTGGATCTTAATGATGTGATGTTGAAATATAATATAACAGACTTATGGATGTGCTTTAAAGTGGAGAAGAATGGGGACAACGAATTACCATCGTTCCTCAACGTCAATTCACCAAAACCTTTCAATGGCTCCATTTCGGCGAAATGGCACTAAACGCCAGTAAGTAAATTTCCCTAGTTTTGTTCCGCTCGCCAAAAAGCGTAACTTGGTGCGTTGTCCACCATTCAAAGCGAGAAATATGTTCACAATAGACGCATTAGAACTAGAATTAGCAGTTTTGCAGGGGACGCTGATCGAAAATAGCGACTGTCGTAGAAACTGCGGAGGAGAAAATGAGTTTCAATTAAACCCTGATAAAATATTTTTCTATTTGAATAACTAAAACTCATAGGTAGACTAGTGTGCTATGTGTGTATTTACTGGGGAGCACCGTCACTTACACTCGTCTCGCTTGACGCAGGTTCCCACTCTCAAATCGAGATTCAAAGGCCAGTGTAGGTGGTATCCATCCGGGGCATCCATTGTTTACGTTCAGCTGAGAACTGGCTGCAATTGCTTCCAACATTGCGGCTGTCCATCTGGGGCTACACTCAGAATCGTATATAACACGTGCTTGGCCCCAAGTAGCACTCAGTTTCGCTTCCTGGTTCTGATTGGCTTCATGTAATCGAATTCTGGCGGCTTGCTTTGAAATCCCAAGTAGGGAATCTGCAAAGAAACATCGTACATAGATTAGTCGATTTACTTGAAACGTTTTAATGTCAACTTATCAGAATTGAATTGGCTGTCACACATTTGTGATTCATATTGATTCTTTACAACCCAGGTAATTGCACCTTTATGTGAGTCATCAGAATTGTCATGGTAAATCAAATACGTATCTGTAAACCTCACTTTCCATTCACTTGAGAACAAAGTTAAGACCTAAATAGATTTGTTTTCCGACGACAAAGTGATATAACTCTGACGGAAATAATGGTAAGTTTGTCGCGAATGTATTTTTGTGTCATTCAAAGTTCAAGTAATATGTTGGTTATTGTTACCGAGTTGTATACATTAACTATATCTACACTAAATATGTGGCTTTATATAACTTAGACAAATGGGTTTATGGAGGGATTTTAGTATGTCTGGATATTGTTTATTCAATAGAAATAGACTTGAAACGTTTTTTTTGGATTTGAAAAAAGTTTCCAGTATAAAAGTTATGTAAACCGGTTCTAAAAAGTTTCCATTTATGAAGTACAGAAATTTAAGATAGACGTTTTTCACCCTGAATAATGAGAGAAATCTCCGATAACAAATTAAGAAGAATAGTTTGCTGTTATAGTGGATAAAGACAACTACGATTTGCGTTATTTGTAAAAGCTGCAGCAGTGATTGTAGTAGTAGTGCTAGTTGAAGTAATTTTTTCTAATATTATTATTATTATTCATGATGATGATGATGATCTTTAGAGCGGAACACACGATAGAATTCAAAAACCGTAGGAGTTCAGACTCCGGAAGGAAGAGTTAATGTGCACCGCGGATTAGCAAACATTGAGTTCACTGCTTTCCGACTGCGTGGTTGACTTGATTGCACAAGGAGATCACCCTCGAGGACGGACAGTCATAACGCAGGATCCAAGTGTAAGAACCGTATAGAAGGGAAACTGAATTGTCGTCAACTCTGTTCATTGCCTCACCACTCACTAATTGACCTGATGTGCAACGATATCACATTCAGGCGAACATTACCATCAGCGCCACCACCACCACAACAACAACAACATGTGTTACAAAATAAGTCCAAATAACACAACAACCTAAATGCAGTCAGAAATGTGTACGCCAGCGCACACACTGGTTTACGCACACTTCTCCGCAGTGTGATAGCTTCACGCGTCTTGAATTTTTATTCCACAACTTAAGGTTTTGCTAAAGTAATTCAGTTTACTTCACAAAAGTCTTGCTGGCAGGTTGGAACTCTCTTGAATAGAGGAGCTAAATCCATAACCGGGAAACCGACCTTACAACTTTCGAAGCATTATAACCGAACTGTATGTTGTGATATTTTTTGGTGTGGTTAAACTGAACATAACTGCATCAGTATCATTAGTACAAATAACATCAAAGTCCTTTTAAAAAATTAGATATCATTTCCTTCGCTCAAATTCGCGATAGTTTTGCCTAATCTAACTGAATAACGAACCCAAAAACATTTTTTCCACAGGTTACAGCATCTCTTTTCTGAAGGCACCTGAAATCAGACTAGCGTCATAGTAATGAACCCTGCTTTGTTTTACGCAATACGGTAAGCTTCATTACCGACATGAATGACCAGCAGATAGCATTATTCAGTGGTCAACCAGTCAACATAACGTGCGGCTTGTATTCAAACAATTCCATCGCTAACGTCAACGTATAATTTCTCAGTTTCTCCATATCCATAAAAGCATTGGAGGAAACCCATTTTACAACAGAAAAATTATTGTCTGTCTTAAATTCAGTGTATGTATCTACGAAAAGAATAGGGAGCTGCCGCATGTGTTTGTGCACTAGAGCTCCTACTTTCTAGCAACATTTATTTTCACTAAGGGTGGATTAAAAATTTTGAATTTCAATTCCTAGTCCTAATTTGGAACCCTCAAGTCAAATGCATCTGGTAGTAGTCACTGCTCATGAAACGCATCGTGATCAATAAGACTAGAGCCTCTGACTCTGTCGACGTCATTTGGTTTTGTCAACACCACTTCGAGATTCCGCGAAATGTTTGATCACTCTAACCCCAGTTCTCCCGAGTGGTGGCTGAAATCCAATGAAGCCTTCTCAATAATGTGTCTCGTTATTTTAAATATGTTATCCATAGATTTGTGCATTGCACTCATTATCAATCAAACCGATAGGCAGATTGAGCTAGCACAATTGGTGAAATTCGAAAGTAAATTTTGATTGTCATGCTTCAGCTTTGTTATGAGACCTCCATCAAATAGGTTAATTCATTTAACCCTTTCAACCTGTCACTCGAAAATCCGTATCGCTGCCTTAAATAATATCAGCATGGTCGGGAGTGGGTGTGCAGGGTGGCGGCTCACCACCGTGGTCATACACCTTGTGAGGTCTTCCTATGAGATTAAGTGTTTCTCAAATAGCCTTTGCTTGGGAATCCTTAATAATTGCCTTCATGTGAAGGAAATGTTTTTCGAGCAAAGTCAGTAAATGAAAGCCCAGAATCCTGGGTTATAACCCAGGCGACCCACTGTCAATTCACTTAGGGGAGCTGGCAAAACTCCCTGACTCAAAACCAACCAAGAGGCGTTTAAACTGTGAACACACAAGACCATTCCTGATCGTGGCAGTGGTAATATATTTGACGGGGCATCATGCCGTATTGTGCACCTTAGGTGTTTAATCTCTTCCAAAGGGTGCATTACCTGATGAACTATATAGACACTGACCTTCAATGAATTGCAATTCGCACATATCTCCACCAACCTGGCTAGCTGAAGGCTCTGGATGTGAATTCCTCAGGACAATTCACTTGCTATTCCCCGACCAAAAACTTAGCAGTTACCACCCCCTCCCACCTCCCCACACACACACACACACAAATAATAGGCTACTTTATTTTTGTAAATATCGTTGCACTTTGATTTCTTTGGCACACAGTTTGAAGTCAGACAAGTGTGAAATACGACATAACAATAATAATAATAATAATAATATTGTGTAAAACGGCGTTGGATCACATGTACTTGTATTTTTAGTAGTGTTATGGTCTAGGTCACTTTATGCGCTAAATTGTTAAGTGGAAGTGTATTCGAGCAAAAACCGTGGTCAATAGAGTGACAGTCAATCAAGCATCTTAATCAGATTGTGTGTATATTTGTGTTTCACAACTGCGTGGTCCGATATTTTTGTTAACTCGACCACGTCTGCCTGTTATTGGATCGGTGAAATAAAGGCTTTGTCGTGTCGGTTAATAACATTTGGTTTGAATGCTTATCAGAAGTGTCTCCTTGATAATCCATTCGTAGAGGCTTTAAAAATATTCACTTTCGCTCGGGATTGTCGAGTTCAAATTTTTCCTCGGACACATCCCCAATTAGAGCCGATTCATTTTCCAGCTGTATTAATTACTGTGAATCCGTATGGACATATTTCCGACAAACACGAACAGTCAACCACCCTTTTTGTTCTGTCCGACTGTTTCGTCGACACGAATGACTGGGCATTCACAACTTCTTCACCTAGGTGGCACGTTTGACCGATCAGCTTTTTGCAAGGATCCGTTACCTTCATAAATTGCGCTCTGTTCCTTTGCTTTGTTTCAAATGTATTTATGGGATCAGACTACCACAATACTGGACTGGAAACGTAGTACGCAAACAAAAACATGCATAATTTATTGCTCCTTTTGGTTTGTAAACTTAAGATAATTGATTTGTTTACATTGATAAAAGTTTTGGAGTGAAGCTGAAAGGTCGCTTCCAGAGCAGATGTTTTACTATTACTCATTTAGGCCCATACCAATAGCTATACTATTTACTATGCAAAGTATATGTGAAAGCAACTTACTTCTATTTTCTTGTCCTCCGGTAGACAAACTACCTCTAAACGTCTCACCCAGCTCTGGATAAATATGTCTCGGCGGTGGGTAAAATGCTCCGATCCCCGGGGGCCAGAAAGGACCGTGATGATCCCGTACAATGCCACACCAATCCTCATATGTTGGAGCACAAAGTGTGCTCTGTTGTTCGTCCGCCACGGGTGATACGTCTGCTTCACCGTTCTCAGTTTCTGTATGATCGTTCCCCGTGACTGAGTGCTCCGGATTGATTGGGGCACGACGATCAAAATACACCGCGTTTAGTAGCGGCAGTTCACCTGTGGTCCTTATCATTACAGATCCATCCGGCAACTGATTTTCTTTGTGTAGACTAGCAACCAAATAGGCAGCTCTGGTAGCACTGAAGTAAAACATCTGCCCAATCATGGGACAGTTCGCACAATTACAAGGCTTTAATTATCTAATGCTTTATGATCAACAATACGCATAAAACACAATAACATGGAGATAAATTTGTGTTGCCATAAATAATAATTTCAAGCGAACTTTTGGTACACATACATACAGTAGAAATTCATTCGTATTTAGCACTACTGGTTCATCTTCTACTTTATTCATTTGAAGTTGAGCCAAATAGATTTAATTGTGAAAATATTGAATGCTCAAAGTGTTTATCAGCCATTCACTTAACAATTTAATTCCTTAATTAGTGACTAATTTCAAAAATTATTGAGTAGATGGGCACTTTATTACTTCATTCCGTTAATTAATTAACTGCTCATTTGGGTAATTACTGAATGAGTTAATTACTTGGTGATTTGATTATTTACCGACTTAGTTGTTTAGTTATTTAGATACTCAGTGATTAGGATGTTTACTTATTTAGTAAACTATTTTATTGGTTGGTTGGTGAATTAGATAGTTAGTAAGTTTGTTGGTCAGTCGGTCAGTCAGTTAGTTAGTTAGTAGTTAGGCTTGACGAATTACTTATTTAAAATTATTAGCTATCGTTCATACTAATATAACATCAGTCTCATTTACGTTTAGATGTGAATTTTCCTCAAAATGCAAAACATT